ACGCACTTCTTAGGGTTGAGCTTCATGTGATAGAACCTCAGGACGTTGAAAATTTTTTGGAGGTGATCAATGTGGTCTACTGCTGCAAGGCTCTTTACCAGCATGTCATCCACGTACACCTCCATTGTTTGCCCGTTCTGAGACTGGAACATCTTGTTCACCAGCCGTTGGTAGGTTGCTCCAGCGTTCTTTAGCCCAAAGGGCATGATCCTGTAGCAGTATCTCCCCTTTGGCGTGATGAATGATGTCTTCTCTTGGTCTGGGGGATGCATGCTAATCTGGTTGTACCCCGAGTATGCATCCAGGAAAGTGAGCAACTCATGCCCAGCGGTGGCATCGATGAGGAGGTCAATCCGCGGTAATGGATAACTATCTTTTGGGCATGCCTTGTTTAGTTCTGTGAAGTCGACACAGAGGCGCCACTTCCCATTAGCCTTAGTAACCATTACTACGTTGGAGAGCCACTCCGGATACGCCACTTCCCTGACTGCCCCGTTATCAATCAGCTTTCTAACCTCCTTGTCCATGGCTTAGGCCCTTTCAATGGAGGCTCCCCTTACCTTTTGGCGAACAGGCTTGTATAGTGGATCGACATTAAGGCGGTAGGTAGCTACTTCCGGGTCGATGCCCTTAAGGTCCTCATGCGACCAAGCAAAGATGTCCATATTATGCTTCAAAAAATCAATCAACAGGGGAGCCAGCTCTTCAGAAAGGGAAGAGTCAATGCAAATTCTTCTGTCTGGGTGCTCCTTTTCTAAGACCACAGGGATGAGTTCCTCGACTGGTTCTCCTCTTTCTGTTGCGGAGTCATCCCTTGGGTCAAGGACCTCAACCTGCAATGCTTCTTGGGGCTTCCTAGCCTTCATAGAGGATACATAGTACTCTCTGGCTGTTATTTGGTCCTCTTTGACCTCTCCGACTCCATTTGAGGTTGGAAAGCGGAGAATGAGATGGTAGGTAGAGGGCACAACTCTTAATGTGTTAAGAGCTGGCCACCCTAATATGATGTTGTAGGCTGACGGGCACTCTATTACCAGAAAATTGACCATGACTGTGGAGCTTCGGGGTGTTACTCCGGCGGTGACGGGAAGTGTGATGGATCCAAGGGGATACACTTTTTCCCCTGAGAATCTAATGAGGGGTGACCTGATTGGCTGTAGCCTCTCCCTGCCCAGGTTGAGCTTGTCATAGGCCTCTGCAAACAGGATATCTGCAGAGCTGCCACTATCCACCAGGATCCTGTGCACATGAAAATTGGCCACCGTCATGGGGGTGCTGGATTTCCCCCAGGTCCTTGTCTGAAAAAGATATGACCTCATCACCTTCCTGCTTCGGCACCTTAGATGGGCGCATCTCGTAGACATGTCTTGCCTTCCTGGCATGGGCCTTCATCGCGAAAAGTGATTCTCCCCCACTTGTTAGTCCCCCTAAGATGGTGTGGATTTCCCCTACGGGCTACTGATCTTCCTGGTTGTGAGGTTGTGGTGCTCGTTCCCTTCCAGCAACGTACTGGCGTAAGTGACCACGTTGGATGAGCTCCTCAATTTGCCTCTTGAGGTCGTAGCAATCGTCGGTGTCATGCCCATGGTCATGATGGAAGCGGCAATACTTGTTAGGATTTCTGCGATTTGGAGGAGACTTCATTTTTTAGGCCACTTTATCGTGGGGTCATCCTGGATCTGGAATAGGATGTGTTCCACGGAAGCATTGAGGGGAGTGAAGGGTTGACAGTTCCTCTGAGGAGCAGGACCTAGCCGGTCCTTGATAGGGACTTTCTCTGTCCTACCATGTTTGTTGTTGGTCCCCTTCTTATCGTCCCTCTCTCTTTCCTTCCTTTTCTCCCCTGCTCTGGAAGACTCACCCCGCCTGGGCCTTGTGATGTCTTCTGCGTTTATGTACTTTTGGACCTTGGCTAGCAGCTCTAGCATGTTCTTCGGTGGGCGCTTCAGAACTAAGAAAAGGAAGCTTGATGAACGGAGGCCACCCAAGAAGGCAGTCATCGTCACCTTGTCGTCGGGTTCATCAACATGGAGTACCTCCTCGTTAAAACGAGTGAGGTAACTCCTCATGCTCTCCTCGCGGTCCTACTTTATACTAAGCAGGTGCGTAACTGGTTTCTGGTGGCGACGCCCTCCAATGAAGTGTGAGACGAATGATCTGCTAAGCTCGACGAAAGAGGCAATAGAGACGGGGGAGAGTTTAGCAAACCACTGTTGGGCAGACCCCTTTAATTTGGTTGGGAATGCCCTGCACATGATTTCGTCTGGTACGTTGTGCAATTGCATCAAGGTCTTGTAAGTGTCGAGGTGGTCGAGTGGATCCTTTGTTCCATCAAAGGTCTCCACAGATGGCATTTTGAACTTCTGAGAGAGGGGGTAGTTTGCTACATCAGCTTTGAAAGGCGTATCAGTAAGCCTTACCAGGTGGTCAACAGTCTCGGGTCCCTGTGCCTTCATGGCGTTGAAGACATCACCTAGTTGATTCTGTACCTCCTTTATCTTATCGTCCCAATGATTGGGGGCTCCTCTGGAATGATCATGGAAGTGGCTTCCATGCTCCATGCTTTGGTTTTCACCATCATCCTCCTGGAGATAAAGGTCCTCTCCCTGGGAAGCAAGGGAAGGGGGAGGTGGAGCTCCCTCATGTTGGGCTTCCCATTGGGCGCCCGGGTGTGGAGCAACAGGGCGTGGTGCTCCTTGATGTCCAGGACATGGAGCTCCTTGGGGTGCTCCATGTTGTGCACCTCCGTGGGGCCCTCCATGTTGTGCACCTCCGTGGGGCCCTCCATGTTGTGCACCTCCGTGTGGTGCTCCACCTTGGGGTCCTCCATGTTGTGCACCTCCGTGTGGTGTTCCTCCTTGTCTAGCAAGTATGAGTTACAATAACTGTTAGTTTTGAGCAACCAGTTACTGCATGGTCTCCAATATTTGTTGGGAATTCGGAGCTAGAGTATCCGGAACAGGGTTGGTAGGCGGGGCAGCAACCTCTTCCTCTCGTGGAGGATTGTCTTCATGTTGGGTCATGGATCGAGTAGTGATCGCCATTAGTTAATGGATGTAATGTTCAAGAGTGAGAATTTTGTCGAATTCCCACAGACGGCGCCAAACTGATGATGCACAAAAATGGTTTTGCACACCACCTGTCAAGTGTAGGTAATAAATACAGTGAAATCAATGAGAAAATTAAAGAAGACACGATTTATAGTGGTTCGGTCAATTCGACCTACGTCCATTCTTCAATGGCTTCAGTTGCTGGGTATTTTATTAATTCAAAGGTATGGAGAATAGAGATACAAGCTTTGAGAGAATGGAGAATCAAAGAAGCAGTGGTCTCCGGTCGTCGGTCTCTCCTCTGTAAGTGTTGGTGGGGCGTGCCATTTTTTGTGGTCTGCTAACAGATTGGGGCTACTTTATAGTAGCTAAGAGATCATTCTTGTGGAGATCATGACTTATCCTCAAGACTATTTTATAGCACTAAAAGATCATTCTGGTGGAGATCACGACTTATCATCAACGGAAGGAGGAGGTTGGGGAGTTCTTCATGAAACGCGGTCAAAGATTGGACCGTTTTCTTCGGTGGTGCAGATAAGTTTCCCATGCTTTCCTCTTGATGACGTGCTAAGCAAAAAGTCTAACCGGTCTTGTACTGTCTTGGGCTTGGTGGATTCAAAATGAGGTTGGACTCCTCAACTGGAATTGGACTTTTAACACATAAATTGGACTATTTGGACTTAACCTATCAGTTATAATGGATTGGGGTGACTTAATAGTAATTAAATAGTTTGGCGACCTCTCTTCTCCTCAATGGGCAAAAAAGTTATGATGCTCTCTAAAGAATTTGGTCAAAGGATGTGGGAAGGTTGACTCTCTCTAAAGGGTGAGGGTGAGACTCCCAAATGTTTCCTTGGTGGCATAGCTCCTTGATGGACTTGACTAGCTTGGACCCTATAAAACTTTTTGGGTCTTTATAAACTTGAGCTCTTAATTAAGTTTGAACTTTTCACATGTATTGGGGTTGGTCCATCACACTTTAACTTTTTGTATGCTATTATTATGGTTAGATTGATAGTAAATTTTATTTGATAAAAAAATTAATTTCAATAATAGATATAATTAATAAATTTAATTAAAATAATATTAGGAATATGTTGGTCACAAAACCCCATTGTCTAAGCTATTTTAAAGCAAAAAAAATTATTGTCTTCTTACCAATTCTTCTCACCAACTCTTCTATATCAATTAATGTGATATCATCATAATCTTATAAGATTAATGAAATCCAAGAAGTCTTGAACAAAGAGTGGTAACACAAAATTGGGAAAAAATTTTACACAAGTGTAGCACTGCTCCGGAAAAACACTGTCTAGGAAATGTAACAAGTTTGGTGTCATTTATTACTCAATCTAGGCCAAAAAATCAGGTTGACTGAAGAGGATAATCGAGAGAGAGAGAGAGAGAGAGAGAGAGAGAGAGAGAGAGAGATATCATGCTTTGTGGAATAATGTGATGCCATGACCACTTAAACTTTTTGAGTTTACCAAACTCTTTGGGCAGGATACTCCGTTTTAGATGGGGCCCACCAGAAACTAACACATGTAACAATTTGGGCCCCACGTTTCTTTGGCATTACTCATATATATATTGTGCATGATACTAAATCTCCAACCGTAATTAGATTTTTGCCTTACAATACTTCCCAACTGCAAATTAGCTCAGCTTCAACATCCATCGTAATATATATATATATAAAATATTTATATTACACACAGTTGCACGTATCTCTACATATATATATATATACACGTATAAAGATGTAATATCATAATAAAAAGATAAGAAAAAGAGACCCAAGTGGGCCCCATACCCATTCCCTCCTCACTGAAAAGAACGTGAAAATCCCCCTTTGCTGCCAAAATTCTTATAAATCAGTTCAATCGTTTTCCCATTTTAAGTCTCCCTTTCTTTCTTGTTCATACTCACTTTTTCCCTCTCTATATATATCTTCTCTTTACCTAAAGGAAGTCTCAGTACACCATCTTCTTCCCCCAGAACTAAGAAATGGCTAGTACTGTGATTAGGCTCACAGTGTTAAGTTTGTGTGCCCGTGCCCTGCTCTTACTCATCATCAGTAACCCTCATCAAGCATTGGGCTCAAGTCGAGGTTCTTTCGGTCTAACCGGCGACATTACTGGACTACCGGCCGGATTATGTGCGTCTGCGGTGAGCATTCATGGATACATATGCCAGGAGTTTGAAGTAAGATCTCAATCTCAATCTCATATCTCAATAAACCTGACCCTAGAAATCTCAAATCTTGTTGTGGCTAGCTAATTAATTAAGTAAAATTTGGGCAGGTGAGAACCGATGATGGGTATATATTGAGCCTGCAAAGAATTCCGGAAGGTCGCGGTGGTGGTGATGGTGGTGGGAACAAGAAGCAGCCAGTCTTGTTGCAACATGGGGTTCTTGTGGTAAGTTCCTTAATCTCATATATACAAAGTAGTCAGTATATATATATATATTGTGCCATATATTAATGATTGATGTTTAGACACATATCCGTTTCGAGGAGTTGTGGAGTAATATATCACAACAGCCTTCCTCCGGGATAGGACTTAGGAATACACACTAAATAATAAAGCAGATTAAAAAACAGATCAGAAAGCAACCGACTAAAAAGGGATTTGTCTACAAATTATAAGTTTAAGCGAGACCAGTTGGTATTTAAGTGGGTCCCCCCCCCCCGTACACGGGAAAGAGAAATTAGAAATATATACAAGAAATACAGAAAGAAATCGGAATAAAGTGTACTGATTATAAGCAGGGGCGACGAAAATAAATTTGAAGCGTAAAACGAAAAATATAAATGCGAGTCTTTTTATTTTTAGTATTATTTTTAAAAAAATTAATTTATTTTTAATTTTTTATGTAAGAGCAAGACAAAAGAAGGATGAGTTAATATTGTCAATAAAGAGATTTTAACTTTTATTTTTATTTTTTACCACAAAGAGGGAGAGAGAGTGTTTAATTTTAACTTTTATTTTTTATTTTTTTTTACTCTAGAGAGAGAGAGAGAGCATAGGGATGACAGTAGACCGAAACGGGGGCAGGGAGTGTAATCTCTATCCTCGTACCCGCTTAAAAAAATTTGTTCATCCCCAGTCTACCCCTGTTAACGGGTATAATTATTATCCTCATCTTTGTCCACAGGTAAATTTGTAATCTCTACTCCTGCCACGTTCCTCGGCCTTCACCTTCACCTCCGCCCCTACCCCCATCCACCTTACTCGTCTAAGTTGGAGACAACATAATTCAAAATTCTAAATAAATCTAACATTCTAAATAATACAACATAATTATAGAATATCATAACATAATTAAAAGTTTGTCATTTAAAACATAATATAGTTAAAACATTGACTACAATATAATCCAACATAATATAATTAAAAGTTTGTCTACCTTGTAAATACAACACAATATCATGCAACACAACATAATGTAACATAATATAATCCAACATAAAAATATATAAAAACTTAAAAATCTACACTTTTATAAGTCAAAATCACAAAAAAAAAAAAAACAAAACAAAACAATTTCTAAAAGAGAAAAATAATTCAATAATAATAAAATAACGGGATAAAGGGGCAAAGAGGGGCGGGGCGGGAATAAGTGTCAGTCTATCCCCGCCTTCATCCCCATTCAGACTTATACGAGTATTTCCTGTATATGTTCACCGTCTAATACATATGGCCCAAACGGAACAAGTTTGGACGAATATCCATTTTTACCCGATTGCATGTTATCCCTAATACTCCATTTGGTATGATGGAAAAATGGAAGAATGAAAAGTTAAAAGAATAAAAAGTTGAAGAGATAAATAAAACATCATGTGTTGGTAAGGAAAAAAAATAAGAAAAATAAAAAAGTTGATGGATTAACTTTCCATCCAACTCACCAAAATAAATCCTTCTAAAATCGAAAGAAAAGTAGATAAAAAGTTAATTATTTGTATTAAGATGTATTTTATTTGTCTATATATTATGTATACATTAATTTCATATAAAAATACAATGATAAAAATGTATTTATATATACTTTTTATTAAAAAAATAAAAATTTTAAATTAAAAAAATATTGTTTCACCTAAGTTAGGAGTAAAAATTTTCGACTCAACATGATGACATGACTCGAATTCGATATGAATGTTATAACATAAACTTAAAAATGACCTGACACGCGAACAAGAAATATAAAAACTCATAATTTTATGACTTAACACGAATCTAATACTACACGACACGACTAGATTTTCACCCCTGATATTAAACAAAAAAAATAAAAAAAAATTAATTATTTTTATTTTCTATCCATCCAACTAAACACAAAAGAAAGAAAGTGTATCATTCTTACTTTCCATCTTTGAAAAATAGAAAGTGTATTCCTTCAACTTTCAATCTTTCCTACTTTCCATCATTTCTATCAAACAGAGCATGAGAGAGAGAGAAAGAGAGAGAGAGAGAGATAGTAAATAAGAGTTGAATTTTGAGTATTTTTTATTTTTAAAATTTTAAAGTTTTTAATGTTATAGATTGGATTATAGACTTAAATTATTGTAATAAAAAAATTAATTAAATTTAATTTTTTGAGACTTTTTTGTATGATTTAAAATTAACGAATTTAATTTTTATTTGTAGGTTAGTTATGTACTTAAAATTATGAAATCTTCTAAAAATTTAAGGCTTAAAAACTCATTTTTTTATTTTCATACTATTGTTTCGGCCCGATTATAAGAAGTGTTCATTGTTTCCCATATTATTATTCCTCCGTTCTTAAATATCTGTCATTTTACCCAATTTTTTTGTTTCATAATATCTGTCGTTTAATGAAATCAAAGCATAATTAATATTTTTTCATTCAAATTTACCCTTTATTTGTCAATGCATTAGATTAGGTGGAGGTTAAGTGTCTTTCATATTCATTTTCTTTTCAATACGTATTGAATAAAGATATTTTAGTCTTGTGTAATTATTTTTTACTCATATTAAAAATATTTAATAGATTCCTTAATCTCTATGCAAAAATTTTAAACGACAGATATTTAGAAACGGAGAGAGTATTAATTAATAAAAGTACAAAAGCACCTTGGACTGTCCTCTAACTACATACATAAACTTTGGAAACAAATCTCTCAAACAACAGGCGTTAAGCACATGAGTAATGTTACATGAACTTAAAAATTAAAGTTGATAATTTTAATCATTGAATAAGTAATGAGTGTCAATAAATATTGACACCCACAATAAAATTAATGGTTGAAATTATCAATTTAAATTTTAAGTCTATTTTTTAAGTTTACGTGGAATTGTTCTAAGCACATGGTTATCAAGTGTGAAACCGACAGCAAAGGTTGACAAATCGGATAAATTGTTCAGTGTCTGGTCCACTTAGTGGTATGGTCTTGGAAGTTGACTCAATATTTCAGTCAAAAATTTGGGGTTAGCCTAGTTATTAAATACCCTTTTTACCTCCAGCTCCACCTTGTATATGAATTATTAATGTTGGTTTGGCTTACCGAAAAGCGCAAACTAATTAAGAAGATAATCATGAACACGAAGGCATGCAAGAACCATCCATCGTCTTCTAAGTCCTAAGGCACGAAGGAAGACTTTTTAACCATTTCTCTATTTTTTTCATGAAACCTTTTCTGTGTCACGACTCACGAGCGATGATGCTCAGAGAGGAAATTGAAATTCAACACCCACCAGATTCCTAGGGGATCCGATATCAGATAACATATGGGGTGGGTCGGTGGTTCTGCCATTACCGAGGTCTTTAAAGTGGTAATAGACTAGTAGCTCTTCTCTGACCGTACGTCTGCAAAACCATGACATAGCTAGGTCCATTTTTCAGGATCTTTGAACGAAGCATGCAGGTTGACACACGTCCCACTCCTCCTGTCTTCCTGATTTATTTGTCTTCTTCATCATTACGTGTGTGAAATGCAATTCGTTCAACTCATCTTGGCCTTAAGGTTGTGTGTACTTGAAGTACGCAATATAAGAGTATAAAAACAAGGAGATTAATTTAAATGA